TTTTATTGGTTTTCTTTCTATTTTATTGTTGTTGTTTTTGTTTTGTTTTCTTTATTGTTTTGTTTTGGATCATAACTTGGCTTCAGTAAAAGATAAATGGAAGTTGTTGGGTTTCTTTTTCATCAAAAGCAAGACAAATAAACAAAGCTTTAAGAGAATACCAGTAACTCTACATGCCCAAAAATTGACGAGCGCCTGATTCCATAGTGTCGTGAAACATTATTCAGCGAATGCCACAGATCACACAGTACCCTCTGTTAGTTCTTTGTCCTCCGCTGCTTGCATCTACATCATAATGTCAATTTCTGTACCGGAAAATCTTCCTGTACGAATATTATGATTCCGGTAAAAGATAGATAGTGGTTACGATTGTTAAAGTATCGGTGTCGTTTCGGTGTTGTTTTGTGGTGTTTCTCTGTTTGTGTGCTCGTTTTGTTGTCAGTGTTATGATGACTTTTCTAGTTGATGGATTTCGAAATAAATTATGTTCTTGTCATTACAATTTGTTGTTTCGTGTCGGTACCGTTTCGTTTATATGAATTAAATATTAATTTAGTTGCTGTCTCGTCAAAGGGGGTTGTCAAGGTAAAGATTATAAGTCAGGAAAAGGGGAAATGCTACGGCTCACTTACTCAAAGGTCGACGAACTCGTGAAGAAAAAAAAATCAGGATAGTTGCGTGCATGTGTGCATATATACATACATAATATATATCTGTGTGTGGGTGAGTGTGTGTGTGTGTGTGTGTGTGTGTGTGTGTGTGTGTGTGTGTGTGTGTGTATGTTTGCATGTGTTTCTCTCTGTGTTTGCGGGTCTGAGTGTTTGTTTGTTTGTTTGTTTGTGTGTGTGTGTATTTGTTATGTTTACGTGTGTCTTTCTCTGTGTTTGTTTGTGTGTGACTGTCTGTGTACTTGTTAATTAGTGTGGATGTTATGTATGTGATTAAATGTGTATATGTGCTTGTGTCTCTCTATGTGCGTGTCAATTAGTCTGTATTTTATGTTTGTTAGTATGTGTGTGTGTATGTGAGTGTGTGTGTGTGTGTGTGTGTGTGTGTGTGTGTGTGTGTGTGTGTGTGTGTGTGTGTGTGTGTGTATGTGTGT